AGATAGGCTGACTAGACCTCAGTAGACAGACTTGCACTGGGGAACATCTGGGGACACTGACTTGACACAGTGGGCCTTAACAGGGATGACAGAGTATATAGGCTCCAGCTGGGGGACTATGGGAGGGTGCTGGTGGGGATTGGGGTACAAAGATTATTAAAATTGTTTGAGATGTTCTGTATGAAACACAAAATTCAATAAAAAACAAACAAACAAAAAATCTAACTGAAAGAAAAAGATCCAAATTAATAAGATTAAAAAATGAAAAGGAGTCATTATAACATATATCAAAGGAATACCAAAGATCATTAGGGGATGTTTTGAAAACCTATACCCCAGTAAACTGGAAAACCTAGAAGAAATGGATAAATACACATAGGACCTACCAAAATTGAAGATATAAATAAGTGAAACAGATGCATAACAAACAATGAGATTGAAGCAATAACAAGACTCCCAACCATAAAATGCACAGGCCCATATAGATTCACCACTGGATTGTACCAGATTTTAAAGAAAAATTAACATCAATGTTGTTTAAGCTATTCCATAAAGAAAAAGAGAAGGACTACTACCACATTCATTTAAGAATCAGTACCACCCAAATATTAAAATCAGATAAAGACACAATAAAAATATTAGTACAGGCCAATATACCAAATGAAGACAGATGCAAAAATTCTCAATAAAATATTGGCAAACTGAATTCAACAACACATCAAAAGAGCATTCAAGTTGGCTTCATTCCAGGGATGCAAGTATGGTCTGCCATCTGCCAATCAATGAATGCAGTACACTGCAAGAACAGACTCAAAGACAGAAACCTCAAGCTCTTATAAATAGATACAGAAAAGGCTTTATCAAAATGCAACAATATCTATTCATGATAAAAATCTTGAAGAACAAAAGGAACATATCCCTTAACATAATAAAGGTTTGCTGTATCCGCCATTAAACTACATAGAGAAAATATTAAAAGCATTTCCATTAAAATTATGAATGAGACAAAAGTCAAATTGCTCCCATTTGCCAACAATACATATATCAGAATATAGGAGAAGGGCCCAGCAATCTGTGCTTGTAAAGCCCCTTAAGTATTGCTGGTGGATGATAACTGACAGTCTCTGCTCTAGGCCATACATCGTTAACTGGGGTCTACAGATTTAAAAATGGCTTCTAAGTGTCCATGGATCTCTGAAGCTGTAAGTAAATTTATGTTTCTTTTTTATTTGTTTGTTTGTTTTGGTCTTTTTGTTGATTTTTGACCCTGTAGCCCCAGCTGACCTGGAACTCGCTATGTAGACCAGGCTGGCCTCGAACTCACAGAGATCTGCCTGCCT